GTTCCCATCTGATGGCTTCTGATTCCTCTGAAAAGTGGAGGTCTGACACATCTGTTAGGGGCGGGGAAAAAAGTTGAAGAAAGTGAAGAAAGTTTGAAATGATTTTTGAGTACAATGGGAGAATTTTTAAGGAATAAATGTAGTAAGCTCCACAGGCAGGGAGCTTTGCCTGCTTTTATCACTGATGTATCCCAAGTACTTAGAAGAGTGCTTAGCACATAGCAGGCACTTAATAAATGGAATGCATGAGTAAATGCTTTTCAAGTGATCATGGAGCTGACCATTAGTTGACTACGAGTTTATGGTGACACCAACTTACTCATATGTGTGATTTTATCCAGTAGGGTTGAGCCGCTTCCTAGAGGGCAGGTCTGGCAGAGGCAGAGTTGGGATTCTGCCAGGTAGTAATGATGAAAGGAGAATGAATTGACAAGCATTTGGAATACTGATTAAGTGATGCACCACGAAGTCTATCATGGAGAGGAGGGGATGAAGGCAAGAGGTTACTCATGGTCAGGGAGAAAGTGGAAGGATCAATGGATGGATGCCCTAACAAGGTTGAAGAACTGTCATCTTTAGGACAAATATGGAAGTTCAAGTCAGAGGGTGGGATGCCAGACTGTATTATTTTGGAAGGCAGAGCAATTCCTGATGATGAAACTTCAGATATGACCATAGCTGGATTGGAGCAGAAGTAAAGGACTCTGAGGTGAAAAGGTCTAGGAATTGAGAGTCTAGGTCATTGAATGGTCTATCCACACAGATGTTTGGGTTTCCCATAGATCCCCCCTCTTCAAGATCCCTGCCCTGGGCCCCATCCAGACCCTTCCCCAACCTTCAGAGGACCTGCTTTCACACTTCAACTTAAGCCTCAAATCGTAAAAGGGTAATGACATAGCTCTGGGCCAGAAAACAGAATGGAGAAGTTAGAGGGGGCTATAGTGGACATGTTTTGTTTTATTTTGTTTTGATACCAGAATTCATACACCTTTCTGGAAACTGTATGTCTATATCCTCTGGAGGAACTGCCACACTCCCACTTCTTCATTCTTAGTCCATGTGCAGGTGGAGTGGACTTCCCTCCACACCCTAACTCCAAGGGTATGTATGTGACTCAAACCTGTCAGAAAAAGCATTCTATTCCCCTGTGAGCAGTGCAATAAATAGTTCAGGGATAGATACATGATCAACTGAAACCCCTAAGTCACAATGTTGTCAGTGACACCATATTTTTATTTTTACTTGAACGTGCTACCACACAAAACCTGAGAATAAAGTCAGCACAGAAGACAGAGATCCAAGAAGTGGAAGCTGAATCCTGATGACATTAAATTGAGTCCCTGTTATCAATTCTACTACCTGAAGCCAGACCTACCCCTGGACTGTCCAGTTATGAGCCAATACATTCCCATTTTGTTTACACCTGTTGGATTTTATTTTCTGTAACATATACAAATGATTCCTCAAAGTACAAGGGGCAGACACACACACACACATACACACACACACACACACAGTCTGACAATTAAGTTTGCAAACCTGTTGCAACAATGTTGCTAACCGTTTTTGATATCAGAGGGATTATTCATTGTGAATTTGTACCAACTGGAGAAACAGTTCACCAAGTTTGCTATTTGGAAGTGCTGAAAAGGCTGCATGAAAAAGTTAGATGACCTGAACTTTTCACCAACAATTCATTGCTCTTGCATCACGACAGTGCACCAGCTCACAGGGCACTGTCTGTGAGGGAGTTTTTAGCCAGTAAACAAATAACTGTATTGGAACACCCTCCCTCCCTACTCACCCAATCTGGCCTCCAATGACTTCTTTCTTTACCCGAAGATAAAGGAAATATTGAAAGGAAGACATTTTAATGATACTCAAGACATCAAGGGTAATACAATGACAGCTTGGATGGCCATTCCAGAAAAAGAGTTCCAAAATTGCTTTGAAAGGTGGACTACGTTGGTGTCGGTGCATAGCTTCCCGAGTGGAGTACGTCGAAGATGACCGTAGTGATATTCAGCAATGAAGTATGTAGCACTTTTTCTAGGATGAGTTCACGAACTTAATTGTCCAATCTCGTGTGTATACACACACACACACACACACACACACACACACACACACACCACACATATATATATACACATATATATATATATATATATATATATATATACCTGTGCTCAGTTTCTCCTTATGTGAAAGGAGAAAACAATACCTACTTCAAAGAGTTATGAAGATTAAATGGGATAATAAATGTTAGAGTGTAAGTTGTTCCATAACACTAAGGAGCAAGAAGAATCACATTACTTAATTTTTCTAAATTAAATCTGGCTCAAAACTCCCATTTACTAGGGTTCAAAGATGTCCAATATTAGTCATGATGGGGAGGGGGGCTTTTTCCCTCTTTAGTGTGGTATACACTGACCAAAAAAAAAAAAAGGGAAAGAGAAAAAGAAAACCACTTAGGAAAGAACTTCAGGTCTTGAGTCTGTCATAGTTGCCACTGCGATGTGCACTGTTCTAAACCCATACGATCCATTCAAAGGCTCCACAGCATCTCTGCCAAGTATGTACATCAGCATCTTTTGCTGCAGCACCCAAGATTATGTGCTAGATGTTTAGTGTCCTAATCATTAAATCAGCTCTCCGCATCAGAAGTCCTGCTGCCTCCTAGTAGACATCTGTACAGCCCGTTACTCATGGAAACCATTGCTACATCTCACTTCCCAAGTCCCTGGGCCCACTGCTATCCTTGGGCAACTCAGCATGTCCTCCATCTTCTCCTTCTCAACAACACCCAGCTAAATTAAATTCCTCTCCCACACAAGAGCCTGGATAAGATTGTAGACTAGGCTGACTTGCAACTTTGATTTGGGACTAGAAAACACAAATCCATTAACAATTCCATGACAAGAAACTTGGAATTTCTGGAAAAGAGGAGAGCCAAGTTATCTTTTTATCCTACCGGGGTCTCCTTTGGCAAGGAGTAGGAGACAGCAAATAACAACTTGGTAAATTATCCTGCCGTAAGTGTAAATTAACTAGCACAGAATTAAGTACTCAGTATTGCCTTCTCTATTTCCTCTCAGGATTCAACTTACCTTCTTCAAATAAGAGTTGACAGCTGAATAATAATAACAATAATAATAATAATGATAATGGGTCGGCCAAGTGGCACGTTGGTTAAGAGTTGGCTTGGGACGCCAGCTCTGAGCAGTGGGGCCCCGGTTCAGATCCCACATGAGGGCCAGTGACACTGCCCTCTACAGCTAACATGGTGAATAACAGCTCGACCTGGAGCTGGGCTGCCAGGAGTCGCTGGCGACAGCATAGGCTGCAGTGAGGCTGCAGTGGGCTGCCATAAAGCTGCCGTGAGTGGCTGGCAGCCAGCATGAGCTGCCTAGAGCCGCCGTGAGTGGCCGTCCAGTGGCCAGTGACCAACCTGCCTCAGCCGGGAAGAGTGCAATGATCACAATACCAACATGGGCCAGTGAAGCGACGTCCTCCACAACTAGACTGAAGAACAAAAAAGGGCAGCAACTTGTCTATTTCCCTCCCCCAACTCCCCCATAAAATCTTAAAAAAAAAAAATTTTTTAAAAAAAAGAGGGAACACATTCCATCTATTAAAGATGGGATAAGGCTTGTAATCAGAAACCCTAAAAGAAATAAAATTTTAATATAGCATGCACTACCATGTTTCCACAAAAATAAGACCTAACCGGAAAATAAGTCCTAGCATGATTTTTCAGGATGCTCGTAATATAAGCCCTACTCCAAACATAGCCCAGTTAAGATCGTCAGCCAGACATGACTGTTTGAATAAATGTATATTTTTGTACATGAATAAATGAATAAATGCAGATTGTTGGAGCAAAAATTAATATAAGACCCAGTCTTATTTTCAGGGAAACACAGTATGTACAATTCTAAGCATATAAATTTCTTTATTTAACCCTCAAAACACTATGTGGTAAATATTATCTCCATTTTACAGGTGAAAAAACTGAGGCACTGAAAAATTAAGTTTTGAGATTTCCCAGGTAGGAAGTGGTAGAGCTAGGATTTGAATGAGGCAATTTATTGCTAGTTAACCACAATGCCTGAAGCATAATTCTGACCTTGGCAATCAAGACAAAAGGGGATCACCCAGGTTTCACTGGATGAAGTATGAGTTGTCTGGTGAAGGCAATTTTTTTGGCCCTAAATTCAGGGAGAAGTCTGTTGGTCATGTGGGGGATGGGAGTTCTTTATTCTGTGATGCAGTGATGACATCAGGGTAAACTGCCACTAGCCTGAGGAAAATGGAATGGCTGCTGGAGGGCATACTTGGGGCTATGGGGGATAAGGGGTTTCTCTGGGGCCAGCTGACTCATGCCCTGGCCTGCAGATACTGTGGCAGCAGCTGCCTCCAGAGTACAGGAAATCTAGTGACATTATTCCTGTTCATGGTTTGGCAGATCCGGAGATGGTGGCAGCTTGGGAGCTGGCGACAGCTCCTGCCCTGGTACTCTTGGGACATGATGCAAGGCAAGGTGGGTGACATGGATGTACAGAGTGCTGAATGACTGTTGTCATGTGTAAATTTTGGTGAGGAATCATTGACATGGATGTGAGCCCAAGTGAGTGACTATAATAAGCCTTAAATGTGAGACTGAGTGAGTGACACTAGATTTGAAGCCCAGCAACTGATCACTGACCCTAGGTGTAGGATTATGTAAGGAATGCCGATCTCCAAACTTGGGCTTGTAATGGTCATTAACGTCAGATGGGTAAGTGAATTGACCACAGATGTGGGGCCAGCTGTTCACTCTGGATGTGGAACATGAGGGCTTCATGACACAGCTTGTATCTGAAAAGGCTTCATGCCTGAAAATATCTTTCTCCACTCCCCAGGGCTTACCACTTTTGTACCGTGTGGCTTTCCTTGATCGTCTGTGGAAGCAGAAGTCAGAGGGGGAAGAAAAAGAGGAGGAAGAGGAGGAAAAGGAGGAAGAAGAGGAGACATATCTGGATCCATGTTCTCTTCCCAAAGAAGCTCCTATTAGAGAACAAGCCACCATAGCCCCATCCCAGCCATTCTGCAGCTCTAAGAGCCTCCACAAGGCCGTAGGGACACCAGAGCTAGTACTCATGCAGACCCCAAGCCCTTCCAGATCCTTCCCCACCTTTCAGATCCTGACCAACCTGCCTGTGAAGCACAAGACAGCATCAGGGAGCCATGTACATGAGAGAAAAGGCCAGCTCTTCTGGGGTCTCCCTTCTCTGCACAGTGAGTCGTTGGAGGCCATCATCCTGAGCTCAGGTGGAGCCTCTCCCCTGAAGTTGCCCGTTGTACCTTCTATTTGCTTCAACAAGCTTGCCTTCCTGTATAGGTCCAACCTGCTGCTTCCCCAGTATTGCTCCCCAACCCAGCTTCCTACCCATGAAGTCCATACTATGGAAGATCTGCAAGAGATAGCCCCCGATCCTCAGCAACTTCCCCCTCGCTCATCCCCTTCTGTCCCATCACTACTCCTCCATCTTGTGTCCTTTCCCATGGACCACAAGAGAGTCCTATGTGGCGCTGAGGCACATATACAGTGGCTTACACAGCAGAAAGAGGTCCCTTGGGTCTCTGCGGATCAAGCCCTGCACCCAGATCCTAAGCTCCAAAGACCCTTCTCTAAGGTCTGGTGGGGGGAGCCACGGGATCCCGACCTCCAACAACATATTCCAGGTTCACTCTCCGCCTCTCTGCTGCATCCCTCTAGCCTTTTGGGAGTCCTGACTAGGTCTGAGGCCCCATGGAGGACCATGGGGCAAAATGAGGACCCCAAAGCCCTTGAGCCAGCAACGCCAGTTCCCAGCCCGACCCTGGCCTCTTTGCCATTACTCCAGGGAATCAGTTGTATAGGAGGCCTTTCTGGATCTAAGGACCTCTGGGAAACCACAAGGCAAAGAGAGAATCGTCAGATCTCTGGGCCTCCAATCCTGGTCCCTTGCCAATCTGTAGCCCCCATGACAGAGCCTCAAAAAACTAGCCCCCTGGGAGTCCCACCTGGATGTGAGACTCAGTGGAAAACCATAGGACATAAAGAGAGTCCTCAAGCCTCGGAGCCCCCAATGCCGGCCCCTTGCCAACTCCCAGATTCTCTGTCAGAACCCCAGAAAGTCAGCCCTGAGGGAAGACCTTCTGTACCCAAGCACTTCTGGGGAACCATGGGACACGGAGAGAACCCTCAGACCTCTGGATCTCCAATACCAGTCCCCTGCACTCCCCCAGACTCCCTGCCAGAACTGTGGGGAGGCAGAGAAAATTCAGGAAACCCTGCGGCCTTTGAGCCCCCAGCCTTGGACCTCAACCAGGGGCTCTATGGAACCAGCTCTGCATGTGTCCCATCAAGATCTGTGACTCTATGGAAGAGCATGCAGAGTAGAGATAATCTTTGGGTCTCTGCAGACCCAGTTTCATCTTCCAGCCTTTCCTCAGCCTCTCTGCTGGAATCCCTACAAATGGGCCCCCAGGGAGTCCTGTCTGAGTCCAAGGCTTTGTGGGAGGAGAGCATGGGGCAGAAAGAGAATCTCTGGACCTCTAAGTCTCCAGCCCCTGCCCATAGCCGATCTCTACCTCCCATTCTAGATCCCCATAGAATCAATCCTGTGGGAGAGCTCACTAAATCAGAAGCTGCATGGAAGGACATTGAACATTCCAGGAATTCCTGGGCTTCCAAGCCCCCATCTCTGGCCCTCAGCCCACACCTAGGTATCATATTGGAACCCCTGAGAGTTAGCCCCGTGGGGATTCTGTCTGATTCTGAGGCTAGCTGTGGGGACATACAAAGGACAAAGAACTCCTGGGCATTTGAGTTCCCAGCACACAGCTTACCCCAAGACCCACATGAAACTAGCCCCTTGGGAGTCCTGTCTGACTCTGAGCCTGTTGCAGGGGACATGGAACAGAAAGAAATCTGTTGTGTTCCTGTATCCCCTTTCTGTGGCCCCAGCCCATCCTCGAACTCTATGTCAAAGTCTCACGTAAGTGAGCCTATTGGAGACGAAAGCAACTGTCAGCCTGAAGGGGAAACAGTGGAGCAGAGAGAGAACTACTGGGCCACTGAGCTCCCAGCCCCAACTTTCAGCTCTCTCTCTGCTCCTTTACCAGAGCCACACCTTGATCTTGAGTTTGTGTGGAGGCATGTGCCACAAAGAGAGGTCCCCCAGGGCTCCAGCCCTCCATCAGTGGATCCCCTGCAGCCAATATCCTGGCCTCCCTTGCTAGCTGAAGCTCTGAAGATTGAGCCCAGTCAGCCTGGCCTACCCAAAGGAGAGCTGTTCCCAGGAGCTAAGGCAGAGACTCCACCCTCCCAGAGAGAGGCTGTCCCAGAGGTGCCCACCCACTCTGAGATCCATGCCTGGAATTGGAGTAGAGAATTAGAGCTCAGGCTGAAGAAACTGCAGCTGAGTCCTACTTCCAGATCCCTTTGCCCAAGTCAATCATTTGGCAGCTCCCCTGCCCTGAGCAACACATCTCCAGGCACCTGGAGACACTCTTCCTGCTCCCCACAGCAGACCCATCCCCCCAAACTGTGCCCCCACTCTTCAAGCTGTCATCCTCCAAAAGTTGAGAGCACGTTAACTCAGCCTGTCCAGATCTCCCACTGTTGTCACTCCTCTGCCCATTCTCAGCCACAAGGGTCTGGCAGGGCAAAACAAGGATCTCACAGAGGGGAAAGAACGAAGGCAAAGATGGTGGCCCAGGTCTCACCCCAGGGACCATATGTTCACATGGAGGCTGATAAGAACTGCCCAGGCCTGGGAGAGCTCTCAAATTCTGAGGTTCCAGTCTCAGGTAACAGACAGGACAAGGCTTCAGCCCTATCTTCACTCAAGAGACAGAGCCTCAGGAAACCCAAAGCAGGAGACCACAGCGGAGGGGATGCAAGATTGAGGTCACCCACAGTTACAGGAAAGAGCCACCCAGTCCAGGCTGGAAAACTAGTGGGGGCCCCTGCAAGACTTTCCCAAAGATCTCAGCACAGGAACCAGAGCTGTCTACACACTGCTCTCCCCCAGCAGCTTCACTCTAAGGATGGAGGTCCCCAAGATAAACAAGGAGAGCTTGGAGCTGGTGACATCCTGACCCCTCAGCAGTGTCAGCACTGCCCTTGGGCCCACTTGGAGAAGCATCTCTCTTCCCCCACATCTCAGGCTCCCCTTAGCAAGGGTCTCCAAAGGATGTTAACTAAGTTTCTGGGTATCCAAGGACCCCTGCCCACCATATCCAGTCAGCAGAGGAAAGGCTGGTAGTACTGGCACCCAGTACCCCAAGACCTGAAGCCAAACCAGTTGGGGCTGGGGAAACAAGCAGAGGAACTCCTAATAAACTAGCTGAATTAGACAAATCCCACTGTCTTCTTTAGAGTCTGGGAAACTGGGAATGTCAGTTCCCTATTAACTTCAGCAGCAGCTATATCCCCTCAGGATCAGGTCTCTAAAGTAGAGCTCAGGATTCTGTAGGCTTAACTTTCATTTCAAGCTTTTCACCGATGATCAATCTGGACTCCACACATCCCTACTCTACACAGTAAGGCTGAAAGGCCAGGGGAGCAGTCCAGTGCTGCCATTGAGAAAAACTTCACAGCACAAGTGAACAGAAGAAAAATACATCCATTCACATGAGCACAACCGGTCTTGGTCTAGGCAGCTGTTTTTCGTCCTGGGTATGGTCCCCTTCTTCACCCACTTGACCCACAAGTTCCCCATTTATCTTAGCCCTCTGCTCTTCTCTCTCCCTGGGTCAGCTCAACCATCCCCAAGGTCACAAAGTTAAGTGCCTTCCCATGTTTAGTGGTCATCTGGATTTCTTCTTTTATAATTGCCTCTTCATATCCTTTACCCATTTTTCTACTGCACTGTTTGTTGGATCTTATGTTTTCTCCTACTGACATAACAAGTTACCACTGGACAACACAAATTTACTTTGTCAGAAAAATAAAATCAAGAGGTTGACAGGGTTGCACTCTTTTCTGTAGGCACTGGGCAGGATTCATTCCTAGTTTTTCCTGGATTTTAGAGGCTGCCTACATTCCTTGGCTACTGGCCCTGTTTCTCCATCTTGAAAGCCAGCAAAGGCAAGTTCTCACATCACATCACTCTGCTCTTTTGCTTCCCTCTTCCACTTTTAATAAGACACTTGTAATTACATTGGCCCATCTGAATAATCCAAGATTACCCTTCCAATCTTAAAGTCAGTCGGTTAGCAACCTTAATTTCATTTACCATCTTAATTCCCTTTTCCACGTAAATTATATTCACAGGTTTCGGGGGTTAGGATGTAGACATCTTGGCCGGGGGTCACTGTCCTGCCTATCAGATATTAACTCAACCCATTATGTATGTCAGATATTTTCTCCCAGCCAGTAGCTTACTTTCTAATTTTAAGGTGATTTTTGTTTTGTTTTGTTTTTTTGTGTGTGTGGAGGGCAGTGTCACTGGCCCTCATATGTGGGATCCGAACCGGGGCCCTCTGGCGTCCCAAGCCAGCTCTTAACCATCATGCCACTCGGCCGGCCCTTAAGGTGATTTTTACTGTACCAAACTTTAAAATATTTATGTAATTAAATCTACCAACATTTTCCTTTATGGCTTCTAAAACATCTTCTGGCACTTTTATAATTTTATGTATTTATGTTTAGATTGTTAACCTAATTTTTTGAGTGGTAAGAAGTGAGGATCTAACCTCCCGCCTCTCCAAAAAAAACAGTATGTCCAATTTTACCAGTACCATTAAAAAAATATAGAATGTCTTAAACCCATTCCATTAAGTGTCATATTTTAAAACATGGATCATTTTTAAAGCATCTCTGGGTTTCATATCCACATGTCCAACAGCCTACTACTTACTCATCATCTCCTATTCAACTGGTCCAAAACTTACTCATTTTCCCTCTAACCTTTTCCTCCAATGTGCCCATTCCTATTGAAGGGTACCACGTCCACCCCAATACTGAAGCCAGCAACCTGTCATCCTTGATGCCTCCCTTCCTCTTATTCCCCAATCTAATCCATCATCAAACCCTGTCAATTATATCTATGAAATGTATTTCAAATTCATCTTCACCTCTCCATCTCAACCATCACAATTCAGACATGATTTCTCACCAAACTGGTAGCCCTATTCCTTCTAATCCATCCCTCACATGGCTACAATTCTCTGGTCAAGTGATGTGACCCAATCCCTTTAACAAGTATAAAAGTTTTAATAGTTTAATTAAAAATAAAAATTACATTAGAAACATGGAGGGAAAAAACCTACTAAATATTATTTCTAGGTAGCAAAAAAAAAAAAAGTTTGAATAAAGGAACATAACCTTTGCTCAAAACAGTCTGTAGTCCTTAACTGGATATCGGTTTGGTCAAGATAGTTGTGACATACTTGGGTCATTAGGGAAGCTGAATGAGGGTTAAATAAAAATTTACTGAAAGTAAAAGGTAGATATTTATGTTTAAAAAGTTATAAAGCAGGATGACCTCATTTTGATTTTAAAATACCGCATGTACAGACATACACATTTATACACATGCACAGACTCAAAGATATAAACTAAAGTTAATATGATCTCTGGTTATTGGAAATAAGTTTTAAAATTTTGCTTATATTTTTCTAAATATCTAAAATGCACATTACTGCTTTCATGAAAGTAAAATGTTATTTAAAAAGTGAATTGTCAGGGCCGGCCAAGTGGCGTGATGGCTAAGAACTGGCTTGGGATGCCAGAAGGCCCCGGTTCGGATCCCACATATGAGGGCCGGTGACACTGCCCTCCACAGCTAAGACGCTGAACAACAGCTCAACCTGGAGCTGGGCTGCAGCCACTGTGGCAGTGGGTTGCCATGGGCTACCGTGTATAGCGAGCGGCCAGCAGCCGCAGTGAGCAGCCGTCCAGAAGCCGGCGACTGATCTGCCTCGCCCGGGAAGAGCGCAATGGTGGTGCCAACTTGGGCAGTGAAGCAATGTCCTCCACAACTAGACTGAACAAAAGGACAGCAACTTGTCTGTTCCCCTTCCCCCAATTCCCCAGTGCTGTTCCCATTCCCCAATAAAAAAATCTTTATTAAAAAAAAAAAAGTGAATTGTCTATGCACAACAATACATATGTGGTTGACACACTGTACTGTACACTTGGTAATTGTTAAGGTAAATTTTACGTTGTGCCACAATTTAAAAAAGAAAGTGAATTTTCTAGCACTGAAATCTGACTCACTTACTGCATCTCCCCACTCCCCGCAAAAAGGACCAATATCTTTAGACTAAACTTCACTCCCGGCATTTGAGGTTCTCCACATACAGTTTGACCTCTGCAAATTCACTCTAAGACTCCCTTGTTAGTTAACCTAATGCTTAAGCATGCTCTGTATTTTCTGACCTCTGTGCCTTTTGCTCCAATGGCTCTCCTGTGCTTTTCCCTGCCAAGTCTCCCACCTTCCTTTAATGGCCAGTTGAGACTATCTCCAGAGCCTTATCTGATTCTCTCATCTTGGTATGGTTTCTCTTTTCTTGCAGCCCCACAACTTGTGCCGTTGATAGCACTTGTTTCCTGATAGTATGGCTATCAGGTCCTTCAAAGAAAGTAAGATTCCAAAATAGGTATTCCCTAAATATGCTGTTAGGAGATTTTTAATGTGTAATAAAATCCATGATTTTTGTACAGTTAAAAAAAAAAGATTCTGTGAGATCAAGTCCATATTCCCAATCCAGTGCTTTTTCCATTCTACAATATTCCCTCTATTCTGTATATGGTCGAGGACAGCCAGTCAGAAGGTACATGCTGTTCCTCTGCCCTTTATTACTGTCATTATTGTTCCAAAGTTTTATTTATAGCCCAAACCTGAGGGCCAGAGTCCAAAACTCACCACCTGCTGGCTAAGAGTGGAACTGAAGGCACTTTTCCTCTCCTCACCTATTATCCCCTCAAAACCCTCCCCCAAATGGTCTCAAAGACAATGCCATTCTGAATTTCTACTTGACACATGGGACATTTAATGAGTCTACACATCTTTATGAAAAAATCCAAGTCCTATATTCTTAAATCTGTTTAAGCCCTCCTGGGTTGTAGGGCTGGGCAAGAGTAACCATCTAACATTTGCCAAAGCTCAAATTAATGACTGGAAGACTGGTGTTCCTCATGGGCACTTGTGTGACCACTAGATTCTCAGGGCAACTTGTAGGAACAGTTATCTTGGATCCAAACATATCTCAAGATGTTAGGTTTATAGTTCCATCTTTGTTTTTGCCTCTCTGGCATACTGTTGGTCCTCTATGATCTATTTGATGCCATATTCTTGGTTAGAAGCCCATCTTTTAAATCTTAGCACTTATCCTGTGGAAAGAAGTGATTAGCTACAGTTAAGATCACAGTTTAATTTCTTTCTAGGAAAGCTGTGGGGGAAAAGACAGACTTCCCATACAACTTGCCTCTTGGTTTATATATGCAAACTTCTGCAGGAATAGGGTGACAGCAGTGTGTCACTACTTTCTAAAGTTTACAAAGCACCACTGTCAATCATTTTATCAGATTAAGAATCTTGAGGCACCAAAAGAGCTAAGCATCTCATTCAAAACTACACTGCTATAAGCACAAATGCCAGAACTAGAATCAGGCCTCTCAATACAATCTGCTCTTCATTTTCCTGAAGAACCAATAGAGCTCCAACTATCTTCCCTATAGATACACTGTGTGACAAGTGAAAGCAATCATTCCAACACAAATTTCTATCACTTATCAACCAGTATCTCTACGTATTTTGTGGGAAAATACCCCTTGCCTTCTGTTATGCTCCCATAGCTTGATGCAGAGATACTAAACGTCTTTCCCCAAAAGACCATGTCTTTGGTCCTCCCTGAGGTTAGGCAGCCAACCCACAGGGATGATATGGTGACAATGTTCATAGTGGGAAGAAGACTGAAGGCTAAGCCATTAGGATACCTAAGTGGTGGGAAAAACCAAAGGAGAAACAAAAACAGAACATGATAGAGCGAGTATCATGGAAAACAAGGGGCAGCCATTGAAATCCCAAAAGTGCAAAAACATCTATTTTATAGCACATGAGCTCAAGATGCTCCAGTTTAATCAGAGTAGCCAACATGATTATCTTGTGTCCCAGTAGATTATTTATCTATGTAGACCAGAGCCTGATAGCAGTACTAGGATGACCAATACAAATTTGACTCAGTGGATTATTTTCTCTGCAGCATACTCTTCTTTGGGTAAGACATCGAGGTACTGACCCCAGAAGCACTAAATGATTATGATGGTACCTGTGAAGAGGGTATGCTATACCTGGACAAAACTATGCAAGCAATCACCTGAAAAACTGGGAGCAGAGGAGGATGTTTTAACTTAGAAAAAAACACATCCAATACTAGAATTTCATATTAAAAAAAGCTATTTTTTTTATAATACAAATTACATAAATTAAAGGTGGACATTGTAAATGATCCTCACCAGAACATGAATGTTTGGTATTTTTAGATGCACCAAAAAAACATCCACCTCCAAAAAGAAATTGTATCTTTCTGAAAATCTATGATTTTTGGAGGGCACCCGATTCCACTCCTTGGTCAGGAAAATGAAGCTCTGCAAGCCTAGCCTTACTACCCACATCAAACACAGGTGGAGGATGCCACATTCGCTACATCTGAAGCTCCATTAGGCTGTTCCCCCTCCACCGCAGTCCTATCCAGCGATACTGAAGACATGGGGTGAGGCAGCAGTATCACACCGATCTTAATCAGGAGGGCAAGAGGATGCAGTATTACAGGATTTCACATTTGAAAGAGTGCCTTGGCAGTGAGGGGTAGTCCAAGGCCCTTCCCAGGAAAAGAAGCAGGCACAGGGGCCAGTACTCAGGCTCCATTTTGACCCAACGTTTATTGTCCTTTTACAACATGTCATTTTTGGTTTAGAAACTGCTTGTGATTAGTTTTCCAACATTAACTCAAAGCATGTAAAATAAAATCAACCTACTCTCTATATAAACACCCAGCAACTGTGGCCCTTCACCCTCCTGCCCAGGTTGGGTAGGAGAAAGAAGGGAGGGCTCGAGAAGCATTGAGAGAAGTGCAGATGCTTTACTGTGGGGAGTGGCGGCAGTGCCTTGTTTCACACCCACAGGTCCCAAACTACAACAGAAATGGCGTAGGCCCAAGGCCCAATTCCCTGTTGGTAATTCACTCTCCACCTCCCCAATGAAAATCGCTTTTATTTTATCGCTTTTGTATTTTTTGCAACAGAAATCCCCTGTCTAGAGTCTGACTGTGGCTGAACTGTTCTGAGGAATGGAGCAGGCCGTGGGCGCACCCCTGGTCCCTCCTGGGTGAGCACCCCCACCCTCAGAGAACAAGGTCCAGCCAGACCAGCTCACAGCACGCTGGCCACCTCCACTTAGCCATATAGGTCATCGTCATTGTCTTCCGTGTATACACTGCCACCTGTGC